CACGAATTTACTTAAAATTATTACGTTTTAATTCGTTGTTACGAACGGTTTTAATCCGATATCGACAATATCGGTTCAGTGAAATCACTTGTAGATTCCTTTATTGGAACGTGGCCAAATTATTAACCAATTTACAACGTAGAATTTACTTTGTTTTCGGTCTTTATTTTAGCACGACCAGTCGACTGGATTTCGATTCGTGCAAGTCCGTGTACTCAGGGGAACGTCAACGTATTTTATCGTGATGGAACGTGATTCAAGAAAGACGAGGAGGATTAGGTATGAAGGGTGGGAAACATTCTGAAGCGAGTAATTTACTCATGGGAGAAACAGTGTTGTTACTTTATTATAACGAAGATTACTTATAGAATTATACGAGACCCATGTATAACACGAACATGAACTTGTTGTTGTGTCCTTGGTTCTGACACATAACTGTTCCAGTCAATTTTCAGAGTTAATCCTAATAGACTTGTGGATCATTAATGTACTTATCGTATAAGATATAGATATAGAAGATTAATGAATAATTATTAATTTAAACTTCAATCAGTACGAACCAGCCAATCAGTAAGTTAATAATAATTATTAATTTACCAATTAGCGGTTTACCTATTCGAGATTTAGGCATATTAATACAATATAGACAGTAGAATTAAATTATCTATTTTATATTAATTATCTATTTTATAAAATATCTATTTTATATTAAACTATCAATTAATTTTAAACTTTAATTTCTATTCTGCATCTGCTTGACGTCCAATTCACACAAATCTGAAATGAAGACTGTTCGACCCAACGACTCTAGCGATTGAAGATTGAATTAGTGATAGACGAGGGAAGGGGTAGGGAATGGGGAGGCGAAACCAGGTCGAAAATCCAAGAAATTAATTAATATAAATCTATTACCGATAGACGAGGCCGGCCGGTCGATGAGAAAATACGAGAAAGTCCCCGTGCTGGCGGAGGTTCCCTCGGGTTGAACCCATTACCGAGCTCGCGCGGACGCCGCCAACAAATTCTAATTTCCAGGCCCGGGGTAACTCGAATTAATTAATAACCCGAACGAGGTCGTATAGTTGCTTTTTCGTTCTACGTAGTTATGCAGTTGCCCATCCGTCTATTTGCGCGCCTATCTTCCGCAAACATCTCTCCTGGGAATGTTTCTGCCCTGATAAACGGCCCGGGGATGGTACCGTCCCTGCGTTTTCCACCCTGCGTGTGCCACGCGATAATGCAACGCGATGTTACCCCTGTTTCGCCACCGTGAATTTCGAATTTTTCCGCCAAGCGAGATAGATACGTAGGGCGCGAGGGCGCGGTGATGTGAAAGCACGAGGCAGCAATTGCGTGGAATATTACGTTTCGATAGAATTCACAAGTGTGTTTTGTATATTTTCGTTCCGTTTCTGTTTACTCGGATGTTGATGCAATCCTAGATGGCTCTTTTTTTTTTCTTGATTTTTCTCAGAGTATTATTAAATAACGTGAAACGTATTATATTTTAAATATGTTTTATATATATCTTTGCAGTAGTATGTATGTATTGTATAGATTGTATATTTTCACATTTCCTATATTTCCCTATTTCTTAATCTTGCGTTAAGTAACAAAGTAGCTACGAATCTTACTATAATATTCTACTATATTCTATTCTATATTCTATATTATATTCTAATATATTACTAAATTATTATTAATATTCTTCTATCTTAATATTCTATAATGTTCTATAATATTCCAATATAGTAATATTCTGTTGAAAGACATGTTTAAATATTTGAACATTAATTCCATATTCACACATTTTCTCTGAATTTTACTCAACACTTGAATCGTTCATTGAGTTTATGTGGACGGATTTTCAGAATGTCTAAGTGTTTCTAATTATATTCTATTATATTCTACTATATTCTATATTATATTCTATATTCTATATTATATTTTATATTATTCTATATTCTATATTATTCTATATTCTATATTCTATATTCTATATTCTATATTCTATATTATTCTATATGATATTTTATATTATTCTATATTATTCTATATTCTATATTATTCTAATATTATATTCTATATTCTATATTATTCTATATGATATTCTAATATATTACTAGAATATATTATTATTATTTATATTCTTATTATTAATATTCTTCTATATTAATATTCTATGATATTCTATATTCTACATTATTCTATATGACATTTTAATATATTACTAGAATATATTATTATTATTTATATTCTTATCATTAATATTCTTCTATATTAATATTCTATGATATTCTATAATATTCTAGATAGTAACATTCTGTTAAAAGACACGTTTAAATATTTTAATATAGCTAACTATTTAAATAGTTGAAAGTATTTTCTCTGAATTTTATTCAACAGCTGAATCGTTCGTCAAGTTTGAAAATTTCGAAACCTTTACCTTCCTTAAAACCATACAACTTTTGTATTAAACAATTTTTCATTCGATTTGAAAGTTGTTTCAAGTGTGCGGGTCACGTGAATCATCCTGTATATGGAGAGGAAGATTGTTTAAATGGAAAACGGATTTGATTTTTCGATACCTGAAGAGACATCGTGATAAACATTCATGAAAAATCGAAAACAATTTAATACCGATGTAATCCATAAATCATCGGCATAAGTCAAATTTTACCGAAACTTATCGTACGACTAAACGACGAATAATAACTTGTTCTCGTGATTCTTGAAACGTTATATTTTAATTTTTTATTATTTAAGTCCCGGATCTGTGCAATATTGTGACAGGCAATTTCGCAGCTATCTATTCGCGAAATCGTTTCGTAATCGAGTACACTTAAACGATACTCGCATCGATCGAACGCCTTATCCATCTTGTATTCAATGTCGTGTTTGTCGTGCCTACTACATATTTTCGCTTCGATATTCACGTTTATATAGCTCGGCCTTCTTTCCTCTTTTCTAGGTCGCG